ATCTTATTGTTTAAATTCATTGTATAAGAGAGAACAGTAAAGTGACATAACTTCTTATGACATAGAGTAAATAAAATGTAACTTATTATTATTATTATTATATTATATACAGTATAAAATAAACAAACATTTACCGAATCAGTTGCAAAAATATCACAGTTATGTTGTATCAATGTATTTGAAGCATCTTTGAAGCCATATTCAGCTGCCAAATGGAGGGCTAAATAAAAATTATTTATTTATTTAAAATAATTTATACTAAAAATATAAATGTTAAAATTAAAAACCTTATCAGATGGTTATTTTATTTACTAAATACTGCATTAAAATTATTCAAATAAGCAATAATGCAGTTTAGAGAAATGTTCGAGGTGATCTTTGATGTTAATATTCTGAACAAGGTTGAAGTTACAGTATTTTATTTATTTAAGTTAAATAAGTTACTACACCATTGAAAGTACAGTATAATATTTTGCATATTTTGCATATTGATCCAAAAATTTTACTCAAAAAATAAGAAATAGTGTATTATACAGATTATGTAGAATTTTAAAATCTAACCATTCTAAACTATCGCATATCAATTTTAACTTTATTTGGTTAGCAATGCATATCGTTTAGAATTTTAATAAAGTATACAAAGATTTAGAATTTAAATATTTCACAATATTTTAACTAATTGTCAATAGTTTTGTAAAACTTTTGAATTAAAGAATCAATTGGGATGCTATTTCAAATGATATGCTTTCTCATAACATATTAGTTAGATATAAAAAGTGGTGACACTTACCAGTCTTGCCATCGCCATCCCTGTCGTCGATCTCAATGCCAGCTTTGATGAGAGCCGTGAGTATCTCGTCGTGTCCTTTGAATGCCGCCCAATGACCAGCACTTCTCCCTTGCTATACATCATTGAGAGCACAGATTGCGTTCAGTTATAGAGTGTATCATTCATTGGCTACACAATTCATATGAATAAATAGCTCTACTTTATCTTTAATATTGAGTTCAGCTCCGCATGAAATGAGTTTTTGCACGATTTCCAGGTTGTTATTAATTGATGCCATTTGTAAGCTTTCATCAAATCAAATACAATTTTATTTCATTTTTATGACTCTTAATAAACGCTTAAGCAATCAATACCTCGTTTGACCCAACTTTATGCAATCGCAAAGCAAAGCAAACATATTTTTGATAAAAAGCATATTTATGTTACTAAATTCATAAAAATAAGTAAATTTCTAATGGACTCACTTTGTCAATTGCATTAATGTCCAGGTCCTCAACATTTTCGAGTAAATACATAGTAATGTCTGTTTGGTCATGTTTTACAGCACAATGCAAAACATTGTAGTGTTTCTAATA